GACAATACAAGTGTTAACACTATTTTCGGAAGAAAAAACAATGGCTCGACTTCGCAAGAAAAAAAAATTACCTCAAAAATCTCTTGAATCGTTTCTGCTAGCAAATTGCTAAAGGCACATGTAACGAAATCAAAACCGCTATCAATTTGTTTGTAGGATTGATCAAATTCAGTGAAGAAGTACAATTTTCAACTTACAGCCTTGCAAGTGGCCAGCTTCAATGAACAGATAAAATGGGCAGCCTGCTCAACGTGCGTTATTTCGGTCAGCAACGACGTAAGCTGTAATGCTTCTAAACAAAATGCAATTGTCCAACACTGCAGCTCATCACTGTTCAGCGACATCTGAAATAAATTTTTATTCAGAAAACCGAAAATTCATGGTATCCCAAAATCGCGTTTTGAAAGCAGAACCGTTCTTTTTATGATATGAAAAAAAAAAAAAACAAAATCGTCCAGCTATTTCAACGATATAGTTGAAGTCAAGGAGTTAAAGCCATCATTAACCTACTTCTAAGCACCTCTCGAAAGAAGCAGCTACCAAGAGTCTTGCCAGTGGGATGATACAAACGACCCATCAGAGCTAGTTCCGAGTGTTTCTGACTCTTCGACGGAGTGCATGAACAGGGGACTTTGTCTTTTGAAATTTGAACAACATTAACAAATCAAGCATAAATCATACTCCATACCTTGAAAGCACCCATGCCTTCGAATACCGCATTCAAACAGTGCGATGCGTAGCGCAACAACATTACCGAATATTCAGTTTTCAAGTTTTGCAAAGCGCTGCTATCACTGGCGCCCGTCGAAAGTCGTTGCAAGCGTTCCTCGAAAATGCGCAAAGCTACCTACAATATTTTTCAACGGCAACTTATAACACTTGAAACAACTGTTGATCTATGGTTCTTCAGCAAGACATCGAGTCACTTTTCCAGCTGCACTGATCGAAACCGCGTCGCATCTACTGGACAGCCTACAAGTGCTCCTGGCGCTTGTAACGTCTCCTAAGCGGATTATCGTCTTATCCTTCTCCTCGACAGAAGCATGTAACGAGGTTTTCGTCATTTTTTTTTTGATTCCTTGTTGTGCACTGTACTGCTTTATTATGGAGGTAGACATCTGCGAACTGCGATGAGATGACCTTATTTACTAGAAGTACAAATGCATAAGGAAGGACGAAATCAACGGACCAATGATAAAAAATTACCAAAATTTGATGCGCAAAAATGATGTGACGCAATTCCAGCAATGTAATACCCTCCCATGGCGCATCACATTTCAGCATTGCTACAAAAAGTGGACAACCGAGCGACGCATCCGAAACAGACGTTGAAGATGATGCAAACCACTTCGGCGCTGGTTCTAAAATATTGATGGAAGTCGATTTTTCTAACAGATTTGCTAGGATTTCGCTTCATTCATACAATTGTATGTGAGTTCATGTACACACTTGCGCACATACACACACATACAAGCAAATACACACTCATACACGCACATATAAAAGCACATACAGATGAACAAATACGTGCACAGACAAGCATAAGTACATTCACAAACACACACACACACAACTCACATACATACATACACACGTCGAAAATGCTCTTGATTATAAAACCTCCGAATATTCCGAGACAAAATGAGCTTACAGTTTTCATGTCAACGTTAAATCAAAATCTCTACATGTTTCACACTATGTGAGAGACGGAGGCACATGGAAATAGTCGAAGAATTAACACACTGCAAATAAAAATCATCATTGGCAAGGCTGTCGATGACTCGTTTTTTTCGAGATTACTTACATGAACGCCGCTGACTGATCTGACTTCTCGGTTCAGCAAATTGTGGAGGGACCGATTTTCCAAAAAAAAAAAAGAGAAATAATTTGACAAAATTATCGTTTACCTGTTGAGGAATGATTTAGAGCAATTAGGGATAACATTGCATCGAGTTCATCAAACATTGCAGTCACCTGCTCTGTGATATCAAGACTTTGATAGAGCCGAGATAAACTCATCTGAAACCTGCAAATCTCATGAACAAGTACCACTTTTCAAAACATACACTTTTTAATTTCGAAAGACAATCAGGGACCAGCAAGCTTTTGTGAAGAAAACAAATAACTAGAGGCAACAGCGCACTGGGATTGTTTAAAGAACTGCCTGCACCAACTAAAACCATTGTCAACAGACGGATGATTGTTACCTGTTCGCGGCAGAAAGTGATGAAATCAAAATTGGGCTCGGAATATTTATCGTTTCGTCTGGCCAAACTGTTCTCCTCGTGTGTGACATAATCCTCCAGAGCATTCAATAAACATGCCTGGGTACTGCTTTGCAGA